TTGCCCTAAGCTGTCGTTTTAGTGGCCAGAGGTCTGATTTTGACCATGTCTCACAAACGGTCGACCCTCGGGTATCAATCTATCCTATCCAAAGAAATTTTTAGCCCAACCCTACTCTCAACTTAACTCTAGTATCAACTATATTAATTATTTACCTCTTCTAATCTGATTTTATCAATTTATGGTCTTTCTTAGGTAGTAGAAGAGTCTCTACAACGTAGAAGGTAAAATTACTAATTAACCCTCAACCTACTAACTATTAAGATAAGAAAATAACGTAAGAGACTTTTATTAAAGCTATGTTTAGATACCTCAAATTATAACTAAACTAAGATAATTAGATATTAATTAAGAATTTAATTTTGATTATATTTTTATTATATAGTTGTATTACATCATGACAACGTGGTAATGTTCTATAGAACCTCTAATGTGTGTTGGCTTTGTAGGAAACATGCCTTTACTTATAAGGCAAGTTTTTCACTATGTGGGCGACATAGTTAGCTTGGTCTTCAAATTAACAACATGTGTAGCACATGGCCAACTTGTTGATCACGTTTCTAATCCAAAAAGTCAATTAAAGATACCTATAAAGTCAAAGTAACGTCTATAAAGCTTCTAAAAAGCTTCTATAGAAGATATTATAGAATTAACTTTTTTTTACTTACTTCTACTTACTTTTACTTATTTATATAAGTAATTACTCGCTTATGTGTGTATGTCCATGACATTACCTCCTTTTCTAGGGATGAATTTCACAAAAAGTGGTCATCATATGTTGAAAAAAACTATGATGCAATGAATTATATTTGCCACATACTCAGATCTTTATTCTCTTCGAAGATGGTTGATAGGGCCTCTCAACCATTGATAATATTCCATACTAAGCGGAGAAGACCACCCTATTATCTGATTGATATTAAGGCCTTTATAACTTCCTTCAAATAAAATATTTGGAACATCGTTAAGAGTTGTTCGTACCTCTAATAAAATTATCAAATATGGGGTGTCTCTTCCAAAGTCGTGATACCAAACGCATTATATCTTGTCATCTATTCTAGGAAAAATATGTTGTTATTGAGGATCTTCATCTCGATTGCATCACCTTGAAGGTTATGATTATCACAATGTCTCATTTGACATATCAGCAAACGAAGGTTCTTCAGTCAAATCTATTGATTGTTGGTACTCCATCTCCTTAGCATCACAATTATAAAGAAGCTACAAATAAGGATTGAAAGTAGAATGTTATCTTGCCTAAATCTTGTTTCTTTTGTAAAGATGGTTTTCATCTTGATTTTGATGGATGTCGTCAATGAAAAGTCTCCACCACCTTTGTTGCATTTGCAAGATTCTTTATTGGCTCCAATGTGCATTCTCTAATATTATATTTATACCAATAGACAAGATAATCTAATTTATGTTGGTGCCACCTTGAATCTATGACTTCTTCCATTTTGAATTCTTCATTATTGTCTACTTCTATAGGAAGAGGTAGAGTTTATCTTTTTCTTGGTATGTCCACTATCTTGTATAGTTCAAGAAGAGACTTGTGGGATATTGGATGGATTTTCATTGACTTCAGTAAATATAAATGATATACAACTGGATTGATTTGTGTAGAAATAGAAAATGGTTTAAGTCTACGATAGTCCAATTTATCACAAGAAGGAATGGTCTTGATATTATGACAAAGTAATCATATCTTGTTATTGCGTGGATAGGTGGTTGTTCCTTTCGATAGACATCTGCATTAATCTTTTATTGTTCTTGAACTTCTTTCAATTGTGCCTTCATTGTTGTATGTAGTTTTGATAAATGATTTGCCAAATCTTTTGCAGCAGGATTATTAGCTTTTGAAAAGTCAAAAGTATCAAGTTGTGGATCATAACCATAATTTGCACAAAAAGGTATTTTTTTTGTAGAAGAATGTACCATGTTATTATAAACAAACTCTGCCAATGGCAAAAGAGTTGTCCAATCATCTTATTGGTAGTTGACGGTACATCTTAAATACTACTCCAAAACTTAATTAATACGCTCCGTTTGTCCATCAGTTTGAGGATGGAATGCCAAAGATAGTTTTATATCTACTTTTAGAATCTTGAAAAGAGTTTGTCAAAATCTTGATACAAACTGAGTTCTCCTATCCAATATAATATCTTTAGATAATCCATGATAGCAATAGATGTTATCAAGAAAGAGGTTAGCTTTTCTTCACCTGTGATAGATTTTGTACATGGTACAAAATATGCCATCTTGGTAAAATGATTTACTATTACAAATATAGAGTTATAAGCACCTGAGATTGGAAGATCCATGATGAAATCCATAGAAACACAAGACCATGGTTGTTTTGGAATAGGTAATGGTTGAAGAAGTCCGTAAGGTGAAAGACAAGGATTTTTTGATCTTGAACAAATGTCGCATGATTGAACAAATTCTTTCACACCCTTCCACATTTGTGGCCACCAAAAATCTCTAGATATAAGTTCCAAAGTCTTATTGTATCCAAAATATCTTGTAGCTAGAAAGTCATGACGTTCTTGAAAAACACATAATCATGCTTCTCCTTTTGGAACATATAATCGACCTTCGAAATAGAGTATGTTGTTTTTGAACTCAAACTTAAAAGTATCCTGGGACTTAGAAGAAGAGTTTTTAATATTATAAATAAGAGGATCAGAAGATATACTTGATTGGATTTGTTTTACAAAATAAATCCTCAAAATTTAGATCTTGTACCATCAAACTTCTCGGGCAGGACAACTTTTGGTTCTCTAATACTTGAAGGATGTTCCACTATGGGTGGAGGGATATGATTTGGTATAGATGTTGAAGCAGCTCTAATCATCTCTATGTCGTTACTTCTTGCCATTCTTATTGATCCATGTGGTGGTAAACTAAGTTGATGCAATGGAAACATCAATTCCCTCAATTGCTCTTGCATTTGTGTCATTGCACTCTTCATTTCAACAAGCTCTACGATAATAAAATTCAAAAAAATATCTAATACCACTTAAGACAAGTAGAAGAAAGGGCTTGAGGACAAAAAAATACTAAGAATAATATCAGTTTAGAAGAGGGTAATCTGCAACTTCTAATATGCTTATGTCTTATCATGAGAAAGGAATAATCCTTTCTTAATCAAGATAAGACAAAGCTATGATATTATAAGTGCACTTTTGTCAATCTTTCAAGCACATGAATTAAAAGATGATACATAAATCAATGAGATCCATGTCAAAGAAAGAGTGACAAAATAGAAATAAGGAAATATGTATACTAAAAGAAACTGAAAAGGCTTATTACCAAAAGATAAGAAAACTTGAGATTCTTGAAATTAGACTAGAAGCAAGAAAGAAGTTGACAAGAGTGAAGAAGGCTTCACTCTTATCTCTATATATACTATGTAATTAAGGACTATGTGGCAATATTCTATAGGACCTCCAATATATGCTGACTTTGTAGGACACATGCCTTGACTTAGAAGGCAAGTTTTTCTATGTGTGGCCCACATAGTTAGCTTGGTCTTTAAACTAACAACATGTGTGGCACATGGCCAACTTGTTGACCATATTTTTAATCCAAAAAGTTAATTAAAGTCACCTATAAAGTCAAAGTATTGTCTATAAAGCTTCTAGAAAGCTTCCATAGAAGATATTATAGAATTAAGTTGCTTGTACCTACTTCTACTTACTTCTATATATTTATATAAGTAATTCCTAGCTTACATGCATATGTCTGTGATTGTAATAATCATATTTGGTGATATGCTTGTGTATAAATGACTAACACAAAAACTATATTTTGTAAGATATAAAAATTTAAAATAAAGTTACTTAGTTTTGTAAGTTTTTACTTATTCATTATTTTTTGATGATTACTTGCATTATGATTTTATATGTCTTGAAGATAGGAAGAATATGGGAAGTATAAAGAATATTTGGATAAGAAAATTAGTTATACTTGCAAAAGAGTTTTTGATGGTTATAGCTAATAGTATTGTTTATTGAAGTTGATTAATTGCTATTTAGTTGTTTCTTTTGTAAGATTATATATATATATATATATATATATAAAGAAAAAATTCAAGATTATATGATATCAAATTTATTTTAAAATTATACTTTTTCATCCAAAACTAAGCCTAAGTACTAAAATTAATTTAAAATCTAATAAAATTGAATACTTCTATATTGTTTTAATAAGTTAGTACAATAATATATCTTGTAGGATTTTAAAGCTTCCAACAAGTTCCATTTGGTAAATAAATCATCAAAACTTGAACGTATTTCTATCCAAATTTCCAAAAATCATCTCTTAATGAACTAATCGATAAAATAGTAGTTTAATAATGAGTTACTTGAAGTTGTACAATTTTTAAAGAGTTTTCACTTGAAATTGTGCATGAAATTATGTGTCTTTGTAATGATATTCATTAATTAACTAATTCTTTTTACACACACAAAAAAAATTAATAAAATTAATGGTTTTGTGTAGGAATCAAACAAATAAAAATAAAAGAATCACAAAAAAATTAAAAATGATTAAATAACAACAACAAGGAAAAGAAGATACATCCCAACTTGTCAATAACTTTCATATTTATACAAGGAATTAGTTGCCAAATCTTGCTTAAGTTGATGTAGTTCAATTATTCAATAAACTTATTAAGTAGATATCTGGTTAAATAAATAGAGCTAAAAGGTGAAAACCTTGAAAGAGTGAATTACTTGATGAGTGAGATGAAGAAATTTCTTGCAGAATTAATTTATATTGTTTTCTTCTAATACAATTTCCTCAGCGGATATTTCTTCACGTCCAAAACAAACTTATTAAAAAATCAGATCTTAAGTTGTTGCGACTAACACTCATGTATCCTTTTGATTATCAAGGGGTACACAACATAAACCAAGCAAAGGCATATGTCAAGTGTTGCAAAACCTCTCTGGATTGCTGAACCAGGGCATCACATTTTATCCAGTTACGACAGTATATGCTTCAGACAAATGGATATCTGGGATTGCCGATTTTCCGAGTTACAAATCTGCATCCTGTTGTGCGTCAAACAAACGTAAAGCTTTACAACATTTTCAACTTATCAGAATGTTCTACTGACAGTACTCCACAACTAAGCAGATGCTGTGGCAACTCTAATCAGAGTGCAAATCGTATACTACACTCAAGGAGTAGCCATGAAACACTAGTTCTGATCTACTTAGTAACGAGCATTGCATGGCTTGCAACAGAAGAGTTGCGGGAATATCGAAGGGGTTTTTAAGACTAGTTTGATACACCAGTGTTAAAAACACCTGTGTAACTGTTAAACTTAACTAGGTTACCAATAACTTGGCTAGGTTTCTACGACTTAAAATACAGCAAGAAGAGGTGTGCTCTTTACGCTGGTTGAGCAACAAGGTTCTCGACCTTCCGATCTTCCACATCGGCATTGGCTTCAGGTGTCTCTTCCTCGCTTGGCGGCACAAGTTGCCAGAAAAGTGGAAGGAACTTCTCCCAATTAGACAGAATCTCTTTCGCCTTCTTGCTGCCAGTCTCATCCTGAAGCACCCAACGTTTCATAGCTAAATTAAGCGAATCTTGAAAATTTTGGTGTCAGTTGCGGGATGACTAAAATGACAATTTACACGGAGGAAGATTACACGTGTTCAAAGGTGCAATTACACTATGATCATCCCAAATTTGTTGGCTACATGGCTATCTGAGAAAGTGTCAGAAACTTAATCGCAGTTATGTACGCATCGTTACTTCTAAGGGGACAAGCATGTGAGAAGGAACATTAGCAAAAGCACACACATGATAAGATAAGCTAAAAATAAGTTCACTTAAGCAGAAGCTGCTTGGAACGGAATCCTTACCAGATGAGATTGCAGTAAGCGCTGGAGTTGCTGTTGTCCAGCTGGTGCAGTAACCCGTTGTATTTTCACGATTTCTTTGTTCACCTGGTTGTTGGAGGAAACACAAGACATTAGTATAGTTTGCAACTTGACCCATTAAGTATCACATAAAGTTATAGGAATCGTGAAGCGTGTAAAGCATATATACACAATTATAATATAGTGTTCGTAGATGCAGAGCTTAAGCGGACACGACTTCTATCTCAGAGATGTTTTCAAGCCATTACTTAGTGACACATCTCCTTGCTGAGAGAGAGGATGGGATTACCTTGCTGGGGAAGGTGTCGTCCTCATCCAAGAAGTACCCAAGGCCTCCAGTCATACCGGCCGCAACGTTGCGACCAACCCTGTAAAACAAAGCACACAAGTCAGGAAATATTCGGGCTGTACTACGCACGCCATCGTCTGCAGCAACATAGCCACTCTAGATTTTTACCAGAACCCTTGCTAGTAAACAAGGTTCAGAATACTTACTTGCCGATAGCCACAATACAACCGCCAGTCATGTACTCGCAAGCATGGTCCCCCGTTCCTTCAATTACAGCTTCGGCAAGTGAGTTTCGAACGGCGAACCGTTCACCTGCTTTCCCATTCGCAAATAACTGCCCTCCTGTGGCTCCATACAAGCAAGTGTTGCCGACTATAGTGGCATCCTCGGCATTGAAACCAGAGCCTTCAACAGGTAAAATTACAATTTTACCTCCAGCCATACCCTGTATACATCATCAAGACAACACTAGCTTCATTAGCTCATCTGAAGCGTGGATTCATGTGACCATGTAGATACTATTATCAACAGACTGCAAGTAGAGTTGTCGTTGTTCAACATACAACAAACGATGGTTAAGTTAATTGATTCGTAGCGTTCTCCAGCAATAACTTCAAATTTCAATAGTTAAAATTTCAATAACGTACCTTCCCAACGTAATCATTTGCTTCACCAACCAAGCGCAAATGCATGCCAGGAGTCAAGAAACATCCAAAAGATTGTCCTGCACTGCCTTCAAATCTGCACAAGGTTTTCGTTATTAGAATTTACATTATAAAGTGCATCAGGAAATCATACCCAAGTATGACTGAAGATTAAGCAAGACGGCAAACTTACGTCAACTTGATTTCCCCTGCAAAGCCAGTATCTCCGTATTTCTTAGCAATTCTACCACTGACACGGCCCCCGACAGCTCGGTCTACGTTATAAATTTTGATGGTCTTCTCGATAGTCTTCTCGTTTTCAATCGCTTCAATAACCTGTAAAAGTTGGCAATGTTAGTTGACTATCTATTACTCTGATCTTACGGCAGATCATGGTAAAATTCTAAGCATTGTCGAACAAAAGATATCAAACTGCCCAAAAGAGAGGCACGTGCTACGAAAAGCAACCTCTTCATAAGAAAGACAGGAGTGCAAAATTTGATGTAAATATAGACAGGTGTTAGGATATACGTGATGACAGTTTCACTTTGAAACAAAGGAGGCACAAGTGGAGAACATGGAGATGTCACAAAAGAGATTGAAAGTAGGGGAGAATGAAACAAAACATCACAAGCAGCAACAACAGTGTTCCAACCTTGTCAAGTGACCATTTGAGTGTTCTTGGTATGACAACCCGCAAGGTTATTTGACTGGTTTTACAGGATCTTAGTATCTTGTCTCATCCAACAACCTTATCTCCAAAAATTCAGTAAGTTGTGAGACGAAAAAAATACTCACATCTAGGTCAGCAAGAATAGTATCGTCCAAAACTGGGCCATTCGAGTGTACTTCCTGCTTGCGAATTTGTGTGCTGGTCCAGGTCGGCATTCCGGTGTTCTGGGGAGCCCCAACAGTTATAGTCAGTGAACTGCAAATTGCAAAAGAAAACTACTAAAGAGCCTGGTTTAAATTTCTGTAAGTTGATATAGCATGAGCTTAAATCGAGAACACTCACCGCCACCAAGAAGCTTAAGTCCAGTGACTTGGTCTTGGCAAGTTGTACATCCCGACGCTTCAAGATGTCGGCCTTTCCAATGATGTCGTCAAGTTTTTCGTACCCTAATTGGGCAAGTATGCCCCGAACCTGTCATGACAGACAATCAGATCCTCGGAGCATATGTGCGAAGCAAACGTCTAGCAGTCCAAGACAATTTATGCAAATAATACTTTCTTGAGCGCTCTTTTCTGATAAACATACACAGGAGCAACTGCATGAAAGGCATGAAGCCAGGAACACTCTGCATACCTCTTCAGCAACGTAGAGGAAGTAATTAACGAGATCTGCAGGAACTCCTGGAAATTTGGCGCGCATCTCCTCACGCTGCCAAACCATGAATTTAAGTGTTAGATGCCTCACACACCCTCTACATGTCGTAATTGATTAAACCAGAAGGAATGCTCTCTGTAGACTCCAATTTCCGTTCGGGTAGGAGAGGCAAGTGTCATGATTCAGCAGCTGTCGCGTGCGGAGAGCAAGTTTAAAAGGATCGCAAAAACAACTCATATAGGAGGGTCACGACCTACCTGACTGGCAACACCGACAGGGCAGTTGTTCGTGTGGCAAATGCGAGCCATAACACAGCCGGTAGCTATCATAGCAAGTGACCCAAAACCATACTCATCAGCACCCATAGCTGCAGCCATAATCACATCCACTCCACTCTTGAATCCTCCGTCCACTCGCAGCGCTACCCTCTCACGAAGAGAATTGGCCAAGAGAGTCTGCAGAACGCAGTACAACCATGATTTAGTTAGGGAGTCTACACCTATCATGGCTTGATTGAATTGTAATCCGTGAAGTAATATTCTTGTGCAGATTTGTCGTCACAAGTGTCATCATGCTTGCGTACCTGGTGAGTTTCAGCCAGACCAAGCTCCCATGGACCTCCAGCGTGCTTAATCGAGCTGATGGGGCTAGCTCCCGTTCCTCCATCGAACCCAGAGACCTGGATAACATCTGCATTCGCCTTCGCAACTCCACTAGCAACTGTTCCAATTCCAGCTTCAGCAACTAACTTCACCGAAACCTTTGCATGAGGAGCTATCTGATACAAATCGGCAATCATAACAATCAGTTGTCAGGTCAAGTACACTGGAGCCGACTAATTATGTGTTATTCATGGTAATTGGGATCAACAGAGAGCAAAAATTTAAGCTCAAACCTCATGATTACTCAACCAGTAGATAGAAAGTACCTGATGAAGGTCGAAGATCAATTGAGCCAAATCTTCAATAGAGTAGATATCATGATGGGGAGGCGGAGAAATGAGAGGAACTCCTGCTTTCGAGTTCCTCAGTGTAGCAATGTATGGACTGACTTTCTTTCCGGGAAGCTGACCCCCTTCTCCTGGCTTGGCACCCTGAGCGATCTTAATCTCAAGTTGCTCTGAATTGACCAGGAAGGATGGTGTAACACCAAACCGACCCGATGCTATCTGTAACAATCAAAAATCCTATGTTAGATTTCTGTTCCCACAGACGAAACATCATACTGGATCAAGTGTGTAGAACTCACGATAAGAGTGACTAGAAAATGAAACATAAATGACTTTCTTTGCTCCATTTGTGGGCAGAATCAATTCTTCGACACGGACATATACAAGATGATGCAAACTACGTAAAACTATCACATCAAAATACCTGCTTGATGGCGCTGGACGCAATGTCGCCGTTCTCTAACCCCTTCAAGTGGGGAAGAGTTTCCGATAGGCCGTCATTCACATCATCCAGATGCTTCCACCTTATGGGGTCCTGCACCATTTTGATTACTAAGATCAGCATCTGAGACTCAGTAGCGTCCAGCCTTTCAACAAATTGACCATAACCTATTCACCAAGTCAATCAGAGTATCGCATTCAGTTCATGCTGTGGATAAATTTTTTTAAAATTACTTGTTTTATTTACTTACCTCACCGCCTTCACCTGAGTTCGACTTGCCACCTATTCTATTCATGGCTATGGCGATAACTTCATGTGTTTCACGAGATATGGCCCCAAGGGACATGCCACCTGTCACGAATCGCTCCATGATGCCGGATGCATCTTCAACCTGGTCAATAGGAATTGGCTGCCTGTCACTTGTGAACTCGAGAAGGTCACGCAAGACCTGGTTCATGCACAAGCAAGCACACGCGAAGTAGTTAATATGAATTCTAGAGTGCTATCAAACCTTGCGGCAAATTTAACAAAACTACGTATATTTTGTGAAACCATATGTACTGCCGACAATACGATACATGACACAAACAAAACAAACAAAAAAAAATAGCAGTGACATTAAGCACAGTTGCAACTGAGAAGGTTATCAATGAGAAGACCATACATTCACTGGTCGGTTAGCAAGGTGCTCCTGGTACACGGCATATGCGCTTTGGTTTTTCTCTCTAACCGCTTTGTGTAAAAGCTTCGACATCTCGGGGTTGTTTCCATGGTACTCACCTGTAGTAAAGAATGATCAGTATTGCTTCTTCAATGGCTTTCAAAGGCATCAACGACATTAGCTCATGACAAAGGAACGATGATTGAAACACACCTCCTGGTCGAAGTTGAATGAAACCGAAATTCTCAAGCTTTTTGGCTGCCTCTTCAGTGAAACCCTTCGACCAGAATGACACTGTCTCTCTGGCCAACTGTTCAAATACCAATCCAAAATCATTGAGGTAAGGTAAAAAGAAAAAAAAAAAAAAAAACAATCTTGTACTGTGACAAAAATTAGACAATAAAAGAACAAATACAGATCAGTAGATACGTAAAGAAGTAAACACGTTCAAGTCTTACCTCATCCATGGTCAAGCCACCAATACGAGATGTACTTCCACGGAATGCTGTGTCTACCACATCTTGACCCAAACCGTAAATCTCAAAGATCTGGGCGCCATGGTAACTGCAATGAAACAGTAGGCAGGGCACTTCAATATAAGTAGACGATGGTAACACAGGGCGTACAGATTGATACAACTCGAAGAACTATCATTACAAGCATTGAATACATGACACTCGGAAGAGAACTCATACCTTGTTAACAGAGAGATACCCATTTTGGACAGGATCTTCAATAGACCAGCCTTGACTGCCTTCTTGAAATTTTTCTGGGTTTGCTCGACAGTGATAGATGGAAGCTTTCCGTTCTTGATAAAGGCGACAGTTTTGGGACTCATTCTCCATTGACGGCAGGTCTCAAGAGCAAGGTACGGGCAAATGGCACTGCACGACACATTGCAATCGCATGAGAGTTGGAAGATTGAAATGTCGATATTAAGGCCTTTGGAGTCAGGTTGAAACACGAAACTCAGGGGAAAATTTTAAAACTTAAAGAATAAAAAATAAATGAAACTGATTCGACTACATACCTTGCACCGTATCCGATGAGACAAGCAAAGTGGTGTGTGCTGAAACACTGAGCGGTGTCAACAACTATGGACGCTGACATTCTCAAACCATTAGAAATAAGATGGTGATGAACTGCGCCTACTGCCAGTAGCACTGGAATGGCCGGCTTTGTAGCTTCCTGCAATAGTTCATTCAAACCACATTTAGTTTCTTTCGCTTACATTCGAATAGAAGTGACAATAGAAATCACAAATTCGTTCCATAAATATTGATATAAAACATCGAGAGCCTACCGGTTAAGACTACGTTCACAATTCACAGCAGTGTAAGAAGAAATTGGAACTGTGAGAGGCTCTATGAAAATGTACCATATTAGTAGTTCGATCACTGAGGATCAACAACTGGGAACCGGATCGGACTGCCTCGTCTGCAGCTTCACAGAGTTTGTCCAACCCTCTTTGAAGAGACCCCTCAATTCCATCATCAATTTCGAAAAATGTTGGTAGAATTGTTGGTTTCAGTAACTCCGAAGCTTCAAGGGAAGCGAGCTCACCCTCGCTCAAAATAGGATCAGACAGAGTGACCTGCACAACAGGACACCCAAGATTTTTTAGGCATTAGGAAAAGAGAACATGAAAAGACTAAGCTTGAGTCAGCATGAGAAGACTACATACAGTACGAGTCGATCACTAGCTGCATACCTGAGCTGCGTTCTCGGAACCAGCGTTCAAAAGATTCGCCCGCTTGCCCAGGTTCATTTCCAAAGACATAACCAGTCCTTCTCTCAGAGAATCAATTGCAGGATTTGTAACCTGCGCACGTTGAGAAGTTCAAAGAGGTAAATGAAACATACATCCCTGATTTCTACACAACGGGCAAATTAGTGCACCTATAATCTCTAATTTCACCAAATTTTGTACTCATGTAAATAGATAAACAGCATTAAAAATATATACCTGAGCAAAGCGCTGCTTGAAGTAATCATACAGTAAATGCGCCTTCTCTGAGAGAACAGCCAATGGAGTATCATCTCCCATGCAGAATGTAGGTTCTTTTCCAGTTGAAGCCATGCTCTCTATTATCATCTGAACGTCTTCAATTGAGTAACCGAAAGCCCTGCCATGTTTACATCCGACAAAGGCGTCACCAATCATTATCGAAAGAGGCAACTATACTGGTTTAACGTACATTGATTGCCATTATTGTGCTAACTTCTACTCAATGGCTTCTCTCTTGGGATGAATGAACACGAAGAGTAAAATCTTGGATAAAAAGATAAAGAGATGAATAAAAAATTGAGGTACTTACTGCTGATGCTTCAATAAGTTGTCAGCGCTGTACATAACCATGTCCTTGAATTCTACGGGCTCCAACTTTTGGCTCCCTGCCTTCAACCACTCTCCATATGGTTTCGCATTTGCAACACGTTTCTTAACCTCAGTGTTTTCATAAACCTGCACAGAAGAGTGTTAGCTCCTTGCGTGCTGACCGCAATGAGTGAATGTTTCACTCATACACCATGTCTAAATCATATAACAATGCTAACAGATACCCAATACACTCAATGTCCAAATCTATTTGATAAAGTCACAAAAGTCAAAGCTCCAAGTTTCTGAGACTCCAGATATTTAATAAATTGGGGTTGAAAGCATCTGATCGGGGCGAATTTTGTACGTTACCTCTCCAGTTTCCAGGTTAACGCAGATCATCATTCCTGGGCCCAATCGGCCTTTCATTGTCACGTTTGAAGGTTCGATATCAAGAACTCCAACCTGCATGAACGACAGTTAGACCTGAGCATCTGTAGAACGGTTTGTAAAACATCTTAAATATCCATGAAATTCCCCAGTGACCACAATACGTACTTCCGAAGCTACATAAATGAGATCGTCCTTTGTCCGCCAGTACCGAGCGGGTCTAAGACCATTTCGATCCAGACATGCACCCACTGTTCTTCCATTACTGCAAAGTCACAGAGAGCATCACAATGTCAGCGTATTTAAAGCGGTAATTTAGATTCAAGGGAGCGCGTGATAGCCTTTATAAGGACCTAACCGAAATCCTAAGAACAGGACATTTCTAACTTCTACACCTTATGAGTTAAACAACATTGAGAGGTTTGCTAATTGTAAGACGAGCTGGCTTCGTACCTAAAGAGAAGCAAAGCAGGTCCATCCCAAGCTTCCATCTGGCCCTTGTAGTATTCATAGAAGTCCACAACCTCCGGGTACTTTACCATCAACGTAGGGTGTTTCTTGTAAGCTTCAGGAACCATCATCATCATAGTTTCCTCTGGGCTGTACCCACTTCGCATCAACAACTGGGTTCACCACAACAAATTTACTGAATGTTAGATTTCAGGAGATCAATCGAGTGTGGTCTTCGTCGATAAAATCTTAGTAGAACAGTCACATCCAACATTAAAAGTCACCCTAACTCCTCATCATACTCATCCAACTATAAATTGAGGACACAAAAAAACTCGGTAATCACGGAGGCTACATACCTCTGCTATCATATCCAAATTTGCAGAGTCTGATGCCTTGATGTTTCCAAATGGACGAAGCTCGTTGTCACGACCTCGCCAAATTGGAGACTCCATGGTAGCCTCACGCGATCGCATCCAGTTCAAGTTCCCTTGTAATGTGTTGATCTCTCCGTTGTGGCCCAAGAATCTCATGGGCTGTGCAAGAGGCCATTTGGGAGTGGTGTTGGTACTAAACCGACGATGATATATGGCAAAAGGAGTAACATAGTCCTCGTTACGGAGATCATCGTAGAACTGCCCAACCACTTCAGACCGTAACATTCCTTTGTAAACGATGGTCCGACTGGACAACGAGCAGAAGTAAAAATCTTCACCCCATGGCTCTGTGGAGGCGGCCTTCTCAATTAACTTTCGAGAAATATATAGTTCCCGCTCTATATCGTCCATGGCATCTTCGGCAGCTACCTTTACAAACACCTGCTCGATCCTTGGCATAGTGATCTTGGCAAAGTGCCCTACAACGGACTCAGTGACGGGGACTGGACGCCAGGCAAGGACTTCAACTCCTTCCTTCTTGAAAACATCCTCCACAACTGCACATTTTCATCAAATCTTCTGTTAATCGACCAGAAACCAGAAACACAGGTAGGACCTCGTTCTGATCGTTTACCTCAGTTTTCACACTGGTATTCCTCAATAAGTGAATTGTGACGCTCACAGTGCTTAAAATACCCGTTCAAATGATAGAATTGGTGACCTAACAGGCTGAGTACGATAACGAGCAAAGAATACCATAGCTTGCAAAGTAACCCTTGTCCGTGATCCACATTTGCAGCACAGACATACCAGCAAAGCTTTAAATGGACTTTATCCGTCCTAAAAGTCACACGTGAGGAAGTGTGTAATCTAAGGAGCCTAGTGAATTAAAACTGCCAACCAACTCATTGCCGCATAGGGCACCACCATTGAAAGCACTTATATCGGCTCGACTGAATTAACTTAAAACTCGATGTATGAATGTATTGTATTCAACCAACGCATCGATTGGTTGTCGACATGGTCCAGCTGGTGTAAGTAGGTAGTAAGTACCTGCTTTAGCAGCTGCTGCCAAGGATTCGTCTCTGGGAAGGAAGACCTGGCCGACGGCAGAGTGGGACTCATCAATTTCTGGCAAGCCTTGTTCCTTGCACCATTTCTTGAAGAGACCCCATGGAATACTTGTCATCACTCCAGCTCCGTCTCCCGAATCATTATCAGCGCCACACCCACCTCGGTGCTCCATGCAGCCGAGAGATGTGAGTGCATCCTTAACAATCTTGTGAGAAGCCTCATTCTTTAAGCTGGCTATGTATCCAACTCCACAAGCATCGCGTTCTGCTAAAATATCGTCCAAGTTCGCCACCTACTCATGCAACTTCCAAAATTTAGGCCTCAAAGCCACCAAATTCATGAAAACAATCAATTTCTACTGCATACTCTTTTCCCTTGCTCTATACTATAATTCAATTTCTGCGAGGCAGTGATCCTAGATTTAAAGCTCTTGATTGAACTATCGCCACAGCTTCAGGCACCTTTCGAAGAAAACAGATATGCTTACATCACCCTCCTCATTCAGTGTTGATTGTGTTGCAGTGCCATTCTCGTTGAATCAATAAATCTCATAAATTCCAAGAACGCAGTGAACTGCACGACTTCATACTGCAAGTCCCTTGAACTACAAGAACTACAGAAGCGCAATTCCTCTCAAAGTTCTTGTGAACGTTCAAGGTCATGCCAGAATTTAATGAGCGATACCGGAAATCCCAGAAGTCGTGTGCGAGCAACTGACCTCATACTGCCTGGCGTCTTTGACCGCACTCGCCACCAGTTTCATACACCATCCGGAGCCTTGAGAATTCCTGCAGGACCTCCATCCATTCTTTTTTAAGCTTCTGACCTTGATCCCAAATACTTCCGAGTAGCGAAGATGGTCAGTCAATCTGAGCTTGGTGCACAATGACAGCCGATTATGCGCGCTGGAGGCGGTGACCGAATTGATCGATGACGAGGCAGCAACGGTAGGTCTTTTTTCAGCCAGCAAGGGAGAAACCAAGCAGCTCTTGGTTGCCAATGCCATAACCCCCTTCCACAACCTCAAAGACAAACCTCACCCTCCTTCCTGCACTGGAGACAATTCGCTCTGTGGCTGCAACAACAGTTTCAGCTGAAGTGCCTCGCACGCAAGTAGGGACCAGCAGAGAGGTGAGAGATGGAAGATAGGGAGTGATAGGAAAGAAGGGGAAGGCTCCTTAGTCTGTAGCAAGGGTGTCCCTTTGAGAAGGGAGTGTGTGGTAAGGAGCAAATTGGCATCGGAGTGGCTGGTGGACCATAAGCAGTAAGAAAGTCTGAAGCATCATCCGCTTCGCTGCCACAGGATTGGGGTCAGAAGTTGTGGACGACACACTTTCAAAAAAAAAAGTAAAAGAATTAATACACCTGCACTCTCTGTGACCAAAGATAGACGACCGTCGTCAGTTGGTGATGACGACCCACGACACCAAGCTTCAGACTCGATTTCGAGCACATATTTCGTATAGCTTTGAACCCATTTTATCATGCCGGAAAATCTCTTAACATAGGTTATCATGACCGTGACTGGTGTTCCAGGTTATAATTGTTTTCTCGTGCATTGAAAAAACGGTATGGTTAGGCACCTCTGCAGATCTTTTTCATCCATGGAAAGTGCTCGTGCAGTTCTCAACATTTCTTTCCGTGATTCTCCCTTCTAATATCTTCCCAAATTTCGAAATTTTCAATGGAGAACGCAACTCGGAATCCAAAGTTTTTCAAGTAATCTTTGGTTCCTTTACTGGGGAAGAGAATAGAATCCCTGCTCCAGTCCAATAGCAGTGGCAAACCTGATTTATTACAGGTCACATGTGGTATCAGACCACGGCACATACTGCTGTGGATAGAAGTGCATAGATTGACAAATCTCCATACTGACCAAGTCACTGTAACATACCAGTTGGCAACTGCAACCATTTGTCCCCCACTCCTGGTTTGAATCCAAAACCACCGTACTTGAACGATTTCTGTGCTCGTGGGTTCATTTTCATATTACAAGGAATTTTTCCAAACATCTCTAACCGAACCCTTTGGGATTGTATGTGTGCATTGTGCTGTAATACATTGAATCAGCTCTAGCAGCTTCACTCGAACAAAAAGTTAGTCATAAATGTAGTATTCACCTCACAATTCCAGATATGAGATGAAGCAATCCAGTGATAACGCCCCCGAAGGCACAAAAAAAGCAACATTGCCTGAACTATAAGGAAAACGAGGCACGATGTCGTGGCCCTAATGTCTTCGATGGAAGCTTTCGTAACATCCCGAAAGGACACCCAAGTGCTGGTTTTTAGTGGGGTGACCATTAGCAGAGTGAAAGGAGAGGGGGAGCATGGATCAAAGCAGAGCCTAACCGCCTGGCTAAAGAATGGGTGGCGGATATGGCACCCTGCCAGAGACCCAATCTCGGCACACTCCGGAATTAGCTAACCATCCCCTCCTCCTGCGGCAACATCCTGCGGCCACCAATCCATCCACTTCACCTCCGAAAAAGCGACTCCAGCTGCCATACAAACACACAAATCAATAGTGCCCAAAAGTTTCCTCTCTGACTACACATACACATATCACCGCCCTTAAACGTGTGAACACAAACACACAAAAAAATTAAATAAAAAAAGGGAAAAATAATTACTCCCCGGTTTCCTGAAAAAGCTGAAGCTGTAGCAAAACAGATTCTTTTCCTTTCAGCACACTGCCAATAGAAATAAAATAAAATAAAATATTATAAAAAATCAGCAAGACTTCTGCAGCTCCTGATCACTAGCAACCGCAACCTGGGTGGCGCAACGGACCATTGCATCTAGTGATGGAATCAACAGTAAATTCACCGAACGTCAAATCTGGTGCTGTGTGCATGAATGTGTTGGGAGTTGTCGATGTAGCCTGAATCAGTGGCTTCCTTCTTTCCATCGCTGCAGCTACTTCTCAGACATAGACTTTATCGCAATGGTGGTAGGACCATGCTCTCCCAAGAGTGGTTTTGGAGCTCACAGTTACCACTTTGTCTGCAATACTCGGTAACCCAGTGAAATTCTTCTGCTGATTGTCGCAATGGCTTTAAACAACTGTGGATCTGGATCCCTCTGTTGAAAAGAATGTTTGTTTGTCATGTGATCTCTCATCTCTCTCATCTCTCATCTCGTTCTTTGTTTCTTGCTTTCAATCAGTGGCTGTAGCCTCCCTTTTTTTCCTTTTTCTGCTCAAATGGAATTCGTGCAGGTGTAAGGGTTGAATTGGAGCCTTCTCATGCAAACTCTCAGGGTCTTTACACCATGTCCCTGTGATCATGACGTTTTAATTTGGATGAGTGAAAGAGTGATGCTGGAACTGATGTCTGTATGAATGATGCATTTGTGTGTAATTGTAACAACTTGCTGCTCGGTGTTAGTATACAACAAAACATGGTGGTGCTGATGCACTATTGCACTATTGTGTGTGATTGTGGTATAAAGAACCTTGTGTGCGTGCATGGATGTGTTTGTTTTTGTTTTTTGTTTTCTAATTTATGCATCTGGATGACTGTATGAAGTATGTGGAGTTGCATCATTGCTTGATATCAATAGAAGAAAACTAAATTCAAGCACCAAAGGACTCCTTGTTGTGATTGACCTTTAGTCCAATCACTGCTCAATTTCTCTTCTATGTCTTCTTCCCCTCCTCTCCTCCTCCTTTGTTGATTCCCATCGTTTTCCTAGCAACCTTGAAAATTTTGGATATTGATTTTTTATGGTGGTATTTACATGCATATAAAAAGTGAAAATTCATAGTAATTTTAGTAATATATAAAAAAATCTTTCCTAAAAATCTCAAGTTTTGAGTTATAATTTTACTTTAAAATACATGGATACAAGAAAAATTATTTATTATGATTATTATATTTTCTTTGATCTTTTTTATTATGATTATTTAATTTTTATTAAAATAAGAAAATTTTGTGATAACTAAAATTTACTGTAACACTCATAACTACCTATGTTTTATTTTTATTTTTTTATAAAAAAAACTTAAATAGCAAGAAAATTCAAAGAAGATGGATTCATAATTGCTTAGGATATTAAAATTTGAATAAAAATAGGTATCTTAATGTAAATTTTCGTCACAACATTTTAAAATTATATATTCTAAGAATTTTTTAAAAAAAAACTTCAAAAATAAATGTAAATACTTTTTTGTCATACAAAAGGTTAATTATAAAATATATTTTTATTCATATTTTTATTATGTTTTATATTTCATAAAACCTCTTAAATTATTAAAAATATAAAATTCATACAAAATCTAAAGTAAATACAAAATAAAAAATAAAATATACTATCAAATTAATAATTGACCAATTAATATTTTGTTCTTATTTAGCAATAAAAAATTTGATAACAAAAATTTATACCAAAATAAACGTCAAATTGAAGATACATATTTAAACATTAATATTAAATAAAGAAAATAAAAATTATTCTTTAATATATCATTATAGATTATGTATGCTTTTTATTTCTTTAGATACACCATGTAGTTGTATAAGCTTCTTTCAATTGTTTGTTATGTATAAGAAGTTTCTATAATAGTGTCTTATAACTTGGACAATTGATATGTAAGTCTTGTGATTCTTAAGAAGCTTTTCTATTAATTTTTTATTATTTAGTATATATAAATACAAGATTAAATCTATTATTAGTTTAATTATTTTTTTAATCTTGATATAATAGGATAAAAAGTTTTAAGAAGATCTTTTAAATGTACTACTTTAAGTATTTTTTTTTTATATTACAAAAATAAATAAATATCTACTTAAATACCAAAAATATTCTTTTTAATATTTTTTTTTGATAATAGAACTATGATTTATATATTTATTAACCATGTATAATTTCTAATTGAATTTTAATTATAAGATAATCTATCTTTAATATCTCAAGTTGTTTTTACGATAATATTACTTAACAAACAAGCTTTATTTTGAAGTAAGAAGATTTGAAGTAAGAAGATATTTCGATTTTCTTCATTTTAGAGTAAGAAGATTATATATTTAATAAATCTTATGCATATATATAAGGATTTCTATTCATATAAAAAAGAAATATTTAGTAATTTATGAAAGATTCAATTAGATTTGGATCTTATAGCAAATGATCATTCTAAATCTTTGTGTGCTTTACAATTTTAATGATTGAGAATTATCAACTTGTAAAAAAGTGTTTCACTTATTTAATAATTTTTTTGTACAAGACATCATAATATGATCTTAATATAATTAAATTCTAAAAGATTGAAATGATAATTGAACAATAAATTAAGATTTTGATTTTGTAATTCTATTTATTAATTTCTTCATTAAAGTTTATTTTAAAAATTAAATAAGTATACCAAAGTATCTAAATATAGTTATAGAGAAAAAAAATATAAAATCTAGAAATATATAATATAAAATAAAAGATATGCAGATTGAAAATATATAATTTAAACATCTTATGCAATTAAAAGATGCAATAACCAGAATGAATCATATTTGTATTATACATAACCTTGTTACATTGGTTAATATTATCTATAAAAAATTTACAAGAATAATATATCTATATATATATATATATATATATATATATATATCTACATACATAACATTATATTTTAAAAATTATCTAAAAGATTATATATTTAACCACAAGAAAGACTATTAAGCTATATTCTTACATAAAAAATTACTTATGATATTTACTATATAAATTATTTTTTTCTTTATAGATGAATATGTGTAAAAATTTAAAACGACATAAATTTAATTTTCAAAAATTAATCTAGTATATGTAGTATTAAAAGATGATTGATTTCTTAATTCTAAAAGAAGTCATTCTTAAAGTTATATTCAAAAAAGTAACTATAAATTATAATAATTTTTTTTATACCATTAAATTTAATTTTAATTTTTTTATTTTGAGCTCTATTGAAAGATTAAATTATTTTATAGCTAGTAGTTTTAAATGAGTTTTAATTAATTCAAAAAAATAAATGGAAACATATAATAGACTGGTCTTATTTTATAAAAATAAAAAGAATGTATATAAAGATGAATTTTTAAATTTTTTATGATTAAATTAATAATAATAATAATAATAATAATAATAATAATAAAAGGGTTTTTAAAAATAAAGAAATATATTAAAAAATATATATTAAATTTAAATTTATTACTCTATTTATATGATTTATTATCAAATAGATATTTATAATTAAAATT